TAATAATAATAATAATAAATGTATTTCAATGAATACGTTATAAATATATATAATTTTCATTTAGAATAAAAAAATTTTAGAATTTCTGCCTTAATTTAATTTATTTTATTTGGTAGTAGCTACTATAAATAAAAACATTAAACTATACCCAACTAGTAATTCTTCACTAAAGATTAGTTTAGTTTAACAATCAACCGTCAGGTTGATTGTTAAGGAACATTAATATAGAAAATAATGTTGAAGTTTTTTAATTTTGAAGGGATAAAAAAAACTATTTAACTATATATTATTGTAGAGTTTTTGGAGTCAAATAATATTTTCCTTTATAAAAATTAAAAATTTTTAATAGTTTCCATAGCAAATGATTGTTTAATCCTCAATAAATCGCCTGATGTTTTGTAAAATTGTTTTCTATTATTCTTTTCATATGAGTTAGTTCACAAGGTCTGTATTTGGTCGTCTTCTAATGTATTTTACCGGATCTCCTTCTTTTACTTTGTTTATCAAAAAGTTATGTCTTAATTTGAGTCTATCATTTTACTTCTTTTGACTGAATAGTTTTAATTTTTCAACAACCGTATTTTCATTTTCTTTTTATGTTCCTTTCATTCGTCATCCTCTCGATACACTAATTTTAATAAAACGTGAAAATATTTGTAAAGGCTAAATTTTAACATAAAATTATGTTCAAAACAATAAATGTTGTGTTTTTGATGACTCTAAATCCAATTTTACACTATTACTATTATTTTTTTAATTTTTAGGAGATTGAAATGTATCTATTTGAGTTTAAAATTTAAACTCAATTATCAACTTTAAATTTTCAAGTAGTACTTTAAAAGAGTCATAGTTACTCCTCGTCATCTGGAAGATCCGGCGGTCCGAATTGGCCTCCCGGCAGCCGGAGAGGACGATGCGGAGAGTCTTGGGTCTACCAATTTATATCTGGAAACTTTACTGCTATTTACCTATCACAATAAGAAATAAGGTCACACGACAAGGTTATAAACCAAGTGACGCCGTAGTTCTTTCTTACTCAGAATAGCGGAGGCCTTTTCTAAAGAGAATCGCAGAAACCCATCACTACTGGTGGGTTTCCTACTACGAGGACCACTGCGCTCAATGTGGCCAAACAGAATGGGCTCCCAGATTCCCCGGTTTACCAGTATTAATAAAATAACCTTGGACTGGTCACGGTCGACGAAAACACCTATCTGATGATGCCTACACCCAGAGAAAAACCTCGATCTATATAATAAATTCATCGTTCAATTTGATAAATATATCATTACTATTGAATCTATGATATATTTATCAATATGATAATTTTTTTTCTTGTCTTGAACAATAATTATTTATAAGAATAATTATTTTGTTCGTATTAATAAAACATTATCATAAACCCTTGATAAAATTTCTCTATCAAAATTGATCGAGGTTTTTCTTTGGGTGTATCAAGCGAAGAGTTACGAGAACCCTAAAACTTGTAGAACAACTAGGGCCTCCAATCGGTTCAACAAGAATCCTGAAATGCAGATACGAAGAACCCTCTTTAGGGCAAATTCCAACAGATCGCAAGTTTAAGTGATTGAGGGGTACCTATTTGAGTTTTACTTAAATTATATGTTTCAGAGATCATTTTAAGCAAAATTTTGAATTACTTTTAAAAACTTTGTTTAATTTATAAGTGGAACCAATAAGCATTTTAGAGTTTGCCTAAAAATTTAACGAAATTGGTATCTTAAAATATTAAAAATTTTTTTTATTGATATTTGAAAAAAATCTTAAAAAGCCTTTAGTATAGATTATAACAAAATTTTTCTTTAAATTTTATTTAACGTCCTTTCAACTACGAAACTTAATTATTCTTTGAGAGAGGACGGAAAAACTCCCCCCCACGGAATCGAACTATACAGGACGCCACGTCTGTATTATAGACTATATTTTATGAGATACTTACGATTTTTAAACAATTTATAGTATAATATATATATGTATAAAGAACAAATTTTAAAGAGCATGATTTACAGTTTTTTGTATATATTTACAACATATTTAAAGTGTATATAATACCGTACTCCAATCATGAGTTTTATTTATGTTTAAACAGGTGATATTTTTAATCAAAATCTAATTATTTAAAAAATATTGCTTACTTTTGATTTCTTCAATATGATTATCAAATTGTAATTTGGTGCCCGTAAACACTTTTCTTCGAATTGTTGGAGATGACAAACTATCATAAGATGAAGACCGGCTTCTTGAACTTTCCAATTCATGTAGTGCAGGTTTAGTCACTTTATTATGTTCGGGGCCCTCAATTACTTTAATGCTTTTATGCACAGTTTTTTTTTCTACCACGACTATTTTTGCTTTTAAAATGCCTTCTTTCGAATAAACATCGCGTTCTTCGATAACTCGTTCAAAAGTCTCCTCACTAGAACCCTCTCGCCAATCGTTATGAACTTTTGTTTTTTAAAAGAATAGGTTTGACAGTAAAAATAATACAAATTATCATAAATTACAATAAATGACTATGTCCAGTGAGATAATATTATACTCAATATTTGGATATAAAATAAAGATTTTTTTTGGTAAGGGGCTAATATTATATTATAATATAATATGTTTTTATAAAACAATACGTACAATTTTTTTTAACTTTTGGGGTTCTAGAGAAATATTAAGAGGTCCAAGTCCCTCAAGTTTTATATTTCTGCTAGTATATTAATCAATAATCAGTTATTTTGATACCCAACAAAGATATCTGTCTCTCAAAATTGTGTATCTTACTAGAAAGTATTTTACCTTTCAATTAGGAGCATTTCCAATTTAATTGATATTCTTAAAAAAATGGAAACACCCACATCTTAATCACGGCTGCAATGAAACTTTTGCGGATGTGTAAATTAATTTTTGCTTTAACTTAAAAGTATTTTTATATAACAATACATATAATTTTCAAAATTTTTAGGGATAATTAGTGCTTTTATCCCTCTTCCTATAACTATAATTTTAAACATTTTTTATATTTGAAGAGTGAATGTGTCAAACGTTCTATGTGCCAAAAACATATTTGTTCAGAAAACACAAAAAACAATGGTAACATGGGCATGTCTCACGTATCGAACACCATCTATGAATGCAATTTTGTACAAGTAAAAAATTTAATTAACATTTGAAACACATACAAGATTGTGGCCTTTGGCACATAGAACATAAATCAGAAATAAAACAATTTTTCACTTTTTTGGCACATAGAACGTTTGACACATTCACTCTTCAATTATATTTTTCACTTTATATTGAAATAACTTTTTGATAACTTGACGGAATATTGCAAATTTTTTATTGATAAAATTTCAATTTGCCTTTTTGACAATAAGCTCTTTTGAAGATTCAACCATTAATCAAAGTTCTGCGAGAACTTAAAAATCATATCACGATTTTTATCTTTTCAATTTTTAATGTGCCATACGGTTATAAATAAAGACTTTTCGACGATTTGTCTTCTATGAATAATAAGCTTTTCAAGTCGTAAATTATGTAATTTTTGGTAGATATGTTAATTCTTTAGTTTCGATGCAAACCTGAGATGGTATTAATTTTACAATGATTATTTATTTATTTATTTATTTAAATACTTTTTGTGTCTGTCACTAGGTTTTATCAAGAATCATTAGATCGATTTTTATCAACGATACGTCGAAGTGCCACAAATTGTATCTAATTGAAAATATAACCCTCAAAAAGTGAAAAAAATACGATTTTTTAATTCAGTTACTTTTAACATTTTTAGACTATTTTTACTTAACTCTGCCATATGTTTTGGAAACTGTTTGAATGACTTCAAACGAAATTTTTTTTATAAAGACCTTGGTATCTCACTTTCATATTTTATGAAGATTTGACCCTTTAACTGCCCACAGGGGGGAGTTAAAAAATAAGAAATAACGATTTTTGTTTGAAAACTTATCCTTCTTAACTTTAGAAAATGTTACAAAAATACTACAAGTTTTACACATATTTTAAATTAAAGTTATTGTTACATACAGTAAGTTAAACAAAAAATGTTATTTCATTTAACTTTTCCCAAGTACAAAAAAAAATAATAAGATTTAAGTACTAGTTATACATTTTTTCAAGGCAAATTTATGCAGATTATAATGTCCATCCAAAGAAGTATATAAGTATAAAAGTACAAAAGGATAAAGACTAATTAAAAAAAAAAAAATGTTAAGGTATTAATGACTTATGATAAATTTCAAAGTTTAAATAATCAACTAACAAAAGTCAAAATAATGGAATAAAAAGGTTAAATTTCTATTTTATAGAAGTAACGAACTAAAAAAATACTTTAATTTTTATTATATCTATGTAAAAATTACATTATTAAATTATCGATTATTAATTTCATACTAATTTAATAACTAAAATAATAAACTATTGATATATTATACTTATACATCATAAAACTTGTAATCAAGGTATAATTATGTAAACAGAACTTTATGTTACTTTTTGAATAATTCAACAATAGATTTTAAAAAACACAGCACAGGGAGGTCGCGGCACAGTGGTGACGTGGCATAGTTGGATCAAGTATAATGATATCTGACAATGATTAAAATCACTATAAAAAATAAACGCTTCGATGCAAATCTTTAGATAGTGTTTAATTTTAAAAAATTGGTGTGTTATTCCAAAAGCTACATGATCTACTATTTTCTTATTTATATCCTGATTTAAATAAATTATGTCGAATAAAAGAGGGATATAAATATTATTTCTCATAAAAAAATTGTATTGGTCCATACACTTTTGAATAAGTTATAGCATTATAAAGTTAAAAATGTAAAGTATAAAATTGAGTATTTTCTCACAAAAATAGCATTCGGTAGAGCCGTATTTACCATGAAGACAAGTCCAGAGGTCAAATTCTTTTTTTTCATAATAAAGTACATTACATTAGCTTTAATTTAAGATATATATAAAAGTATCAAACCTTCCGGAACACTTTCAAAAGTTATGTTGAAAAAGTTAATTTTTCGTGAAAAAGTTGTCATTTTAAAACCCCCCTGTGGGCAGGTTAAGTGTCAAATTTACAAAAAAAATATACCAAATGATAGGTAAAGACATCAAGCATCTATAAAAAAAAATTATATTGATATGTTCATTTTTGAAAAAGTTACGACAGTTTTTAATAAAAAAAATTTAAGAAATTTCGAAAATTAGCGATTTTTAAATTTATAATTTTTTTGGAGGTTTCTCCCATTTACGGGGAACGAGGGAAATTTTTTCAATTTTTAAGGGTAATGTCTTCGACTAGATACAATTTGTGATCTTTTGACGTATCGTTGAAAGAAATCCGTTCGGTGAGAGCTGAGAAAAAGTGGTAACAGACACAAAAAAAAAAAACACATCATAGTAAAACCAATATCTTCTCAGCTTCGCATCGAAGCTAAAAAATAAAAATAACTAAAAATAAACACATCTTAGTAAAACCAATACCTTCTCAGCTTCGCATCGTAGCTAAAAATGAAACAATATCTAGATATTTTCATCGAAATGATTTTAATCACTGTCAAATATTATCTATATATACTTGTTTCAACTTTGCTGCAACCCCGCTTTGCTTTTTTTTTATGTATACGCATCAAAGTAGTAAAAATTAAAAGATTAAATGTTTTTAAACAGATAGAAAATGTACTATAATAGATTATGCAACCTAAAACCAAATAAATTTTTGATTTTATCATCATCGCTTAAGCCTCTATTCCAGATAATTGGTTTGGCTCTACTTTACAATGTTTTGTGGGGATTTTTACAACAGTTATCGACTTGATGCAATCTCATTAAGGCTAAGGGAACCAGTTATAGGCAAATTTTGTATCATTGTTGAAGTTCCCCAATTGGGAATCAACAGTAAACAGCATAGCTAAACATCAACCCTAAGGCGGTGACTCATTGATCCACTGCATTCACACAATTTTCGATTGTTTATTAGAATTATATTTATATTATTATATTATATAATGATATTATCATATTTATTTAAAAAAAATATATGTAACAATTTTTAACAGAGCCCCAATTATAATTAAAATAACTATGTAACTACTATAGTTTCGGTGAAGACCCAACATCAGGTTACTGTAAAAATTTAAAATGTAAAATTTTACTACACCAAATATATTTTTATTTTTTTTTTATTTATTCAGTAACCTAATGATGACTTTTTAGTAAAAACCATAATATTTATGAAGTTTTTTAATTAAACACTAGACTATTTTAATAAATAATTTATTTATATATTGAAAAGTATAAATTGCGTTATTCAATAATTTTATATTTCAAAATCAAACTTAATGATTACATGAAAACTAATTATAATATGAGTCAATGTGTGATAATTACTCTTTTTATATATTAATTCAATTTTAGTGGCTGATTTAAATGGTTCATAAATATGATAGAAATAACAAATAGAACTGCCCGGAAACGAAATAGTAACCATTAATCATATGAGAGGTATAAGGTTTATCAAATTTGTGATATGTAAGGATGGACAATATAAATATCTTATGTTGATAGTTGGCAATAATTTAATCAACGAGGGAACATAACACGAAAACCTCATATATACAAGATGGTCAAAAGTAAGGTAACAGTATAATTGATACAAACAATAAGAGTAATAGAAACCCGTTTCCTTACTTACTGAACATTCCATATATATATATATATATACAGGATGACTTTATTAAAATTAATTCATTTCACCATTTAGATTATAAAATTGAATTTATACAACAATAAAGATGTTTCTAATAAAGAGGCATATATATGTAGTGCTATCATTTAGATATATAAATGTACTAAATATATATTGAATTATTTGAAAGAAATAATGATGAATTGTTAATGAATCTTTTAATTGTTGCTTTATAAATTAAAAATAATAATAGATATAATTTTTAAGAGATAAAATAATTAAAATCATTGTTTTTATGAGTTAACGATGGTTTTAACTGATATCGATATTTTGTTAATTACAAGATTTCAAAAGAGTTTTCTATCTGTGGTAGTGGTTACATAATATATTTTATTTTTCTTAACTAATACATATAAAATGTTATACGTCAAATTTATATTATAATATGAATAGACGTAAGAAGTTAATTAGTTATTTTAACGCAATTCATCAATTGGTTTAAATTATTGATATGCTTTAAATTCATTATTTATAGCCATAAGCTAGCGACCGGTTTGTTAAGTGAGACTAATAATTACATTCTGCCAGAGATAATGTTTATAATTAAAAAGTATAGATATATTAAACCATTAATTTAAACATTTTTGCGTTGTCAGCTTTTAGAATAAAGAGAATTTGAAAAAGTTCAATACATAAAATGAATAAATGTTAAGTTAATATTTGTGTTAATTTTTTTCTTTTTTTTTTATTAGATTCTACAATTGGATTAAACTAAATATACTGTAAATTTTTACATATTATTTGTTTTTAAAATTATACGAGGGATTTATTAATTTAAATAATGAATTAAAACAAAGGAATAGCAAAGCTAAATTAACAAACCCAAATACATCTTTAATAATAATAATTTACACGTTCTTTACAAATAATTATATTGAGCTTACAAATAAAAATTTATTTTAGAAAAAAATGTATTTGTATGAAGATCAGTTGTTGAAATTTTATAGGTGTTAAGCAAATTATCTAGTATTCTAGTAATTCTAATAATCTAGTATTAAGCAAATTAAAATAAAATAATAAAAAAATGATTATTATAAATATATAATGATAATATTTATGTAATTTCATAATAGTTTGTGTTTAATTATATAATTATTATATTATATTACAGTATTCATTACTATTAACAGTAATCTGTTTATTATAACACATCAATTACTTAAAAATATAAATAATTCCAGATTATTTTTTCAGTTTTATCCCTTATACTAAATGGCTGATCCGGAGAGTCTAAACCTCCCTAAATACCAATATTTTTACATTATTTAATATATAGGATGAGACTTATTACGTGTTTCAAGTAATTTTTAATTTATAGGACCCCCCTTCAAAATTTTGAAAATTCACATCTGCTTATAACTTATAAAGATGTCAACTTAGTTTTTTTAATGACAATATACATATTTAATTAGTTTACAAAATGATTGGTCGATAATAACATTTGGACCAGTACTTCAGATTTTTTTTTTTTATATAAGAGCAAGAGTAGTGTTGCTGAAAAATGTACAAAAAACTACAAGATTTATCATACGCACGCCTCATCTTTAATATGTATTCATAGTTGCCGACAAATATGAAATATATGGTCTAAATTTTGTTATTTCCTTAATTAAATAAGATTCTATTTTATAAACAAGTTAACTATGTTTTTATTTTTAAGTTGATACCCTTATAAGTTATGAGGGATGAACTAATAAAGTACTTAATAATTAATATATTAAAAAATATATATAATTAAAAAAAGCGAAAAAATTTTTTTAAAAAATACTGAACACAGTGGGGCCGCGGCACAGTGGGGACGTGGTATAGTACAGTATAGATGATATCTGACAGCCATTAAAATCACCATCATAAAAAATGCTTCGATGCAAATTTGTAGTTAATGTTTAATTTTAAGAAATTGGTTGATTATTCTAAAAGCAAAATTAACTCCTATTTCTATCATTATTCTTAATTATTAGTTGATTTATAAATATAATCTATGAATAAGTATCTATAAAAGCAATTTAACGTAGTACGAAATTGATATTTAATAATTATGTATTGTAATTTTTTCAAAGATTTTATAAAAAATTTTAAAGTATTTATAACTTTCATGGTAAATGTATATAAAAATTGAAGGGCCTGGCACAAAACTTTTTAGATAATAAATTGTTGTTAATTGTGAATAAATGGTCTGCAAACAATTTTCATCGAAGTAAAAAATATATTTTTATTATTCAATTTTTCATTCTAATTTCAAATCAGCAATTATATGTTTTTATCACCAATAATTTTTTATTAGATACGATTTGTGATCTTTTGACGTATCGTTTTAAGAAATCGGTTCGGTGAGAGCTGAGAAAAAGTGGTGACACAAAAAAAAAAATCATATTAATCACATCATAGTAAAATTAATACCTTCTCAGCTTCGCATCGAAGCTAAAAAAATTTATGAATTTTATTAAATTATAAAAATTTGAGTAAGAGGAGTTAAATAATAAGTTTTTTCTTTATANTTCTCAGCTTCGCAACGAAGCTAAAAAAATTTATGAATTTTATTAAATTATAAAAATTTGAGTAAGAGGAGTTAAATAATAAGTTTTTTCTTTATAGTGTAAAATTTCTGAATGTGTTTTAATGGATAAGTAACAGTTTTGACAAAAATAAAATTGATCATAGTCATTTAAAGTATAGAATTTAATGTTAATAATAATTTTACCAGTTGTTTCTTGATAATTATTAGATCCTGATGGTTTATGAATGTTATCCTCATTCTTATTAAGTGTTTTTTTATTTGGAATTTCATCGACGTCAGGTGGTTTATCACCCTTAGACAATTCTTGAAATGCCAGGGATCTATTAGGTCTTTCCATACTAATCAACTTAAGTCCTACAATCTCGAAATATTTCTATGGACTGTTAAAACAAAAGTAGTATTAAACCAATAAAACTTTTTAAAACATGCAAATCGATGTCCGAACACATGAACCACGAACCACAACTGTCTATCAACTGACTAAAGAATATATTTATTTTGATGTTTAACCGGTTGTTAAAATTACAATGCCGGTGTATTGTAAAGATTAACATATATCGCATGGGTCGGACAATACTTCATGGAATCGTTAATCATTATTACTATGAACATTTCACAGCAGAGAATCGTTTAGTTTGAAATTACTTAATCAAATAAAAATATGGTTGGAATTTTATATATTTTATATTATATTAAAAATTATTTTTAATATATTTATTTGATACTTTGTTCAAGTACCGTAAATTATTTTTATGCAATAAAGCGATCGGATTTTAAAAAGATCTTGAAGTTGAAGATTCACCAAATTAATTAAAGTTAAATATTTTTTTTAATTTGAGCACAGATGCAAAATAGGTCTCTCCCACATTTTAAAAAACTACATATACAAATTTATAAAAAGAAATTTTAGAGAGGGAAAGTTAGATACAATAAGTCCCTCCAAAAGTTTTGTTGAAATTGAGCCTATGAATTTAAGAATCAAATATCAATGGGCTATTACAATTAAAAAGTTAGGTAGTGCTGATGACGCAATAAACGAAGACCCTGAACAGAACGATAATTATTAGACCGCGACTGTCATTCCGATTAGTTTACACATGACGAGATTGATGTTACTATAGAAATAAACTCTAATTTCTCCGTTGATTAAGATATGGACAATGCACGAGTATGCGTCTAGAATAAAGTACACAGTGAATAAAATTGCTGATTACCCCCAAGGACTACACCGGTAAAACGCGAATGAAATTTAAAGGATTAGATGTACGTTTGACAGAGACACCAAAACATTAATGATGAGATAACAATATTTATATTTCNGACACCAAAACATTGATGATGAGATAACAATATTTATATTTCACGTCTGTCAATGACGTCGTGGTCCCAGTGATACGGAGCACCGTATGATCTGTTATCAATTCGACGAAGCTGCTGTACTCACATGGTGTGCTTTGCTGAAATATTTTCTCGTCCGACAAAAACTTATTACTGTACGCACTTCCCAACGTCATTTTGCAATTAATCGGCACGGGTATTGTTTATCACAAAATTCTATAACTGAGCGATACGTTCACGTTCTAGGCTAGACGACCAACACTAAGCTCAATCAACGTGTTCTCTGACGGTTGCATAGTATATCGTAGGTTTCGCATGAATATTATTTTATTGTTTGTAGTGCAGGCACTGTGCGCTGTGAAATAAGCGAGCATAACGTCGATAAAGTTTCACTTTCACTGTGGTGGCGCGCAGGACAATGGGTCAGGACGTTGTGTGTTCGTAGGGAGGACGGGAAGGGAACCATGTGCTCTTGGCGTACAAATGACCTCAAAACACATAATTGCCATACGCCGTTAACAAAATCGCGCTGTAGTAGGCAACATTTTTTTACGTCGTTGATCTGGTTCTGATTAAATTTACTAGAATAATTGTCTCGATACTGGAACAATATATTCTCGGTTCTTATTTATTGTATAAAATATTAACTATAATGGTAATTACTAGCAATGAAAATGACAACCGTACTTTTTATTAGTATTTTAAATGACTTGTTTGACCAAAAAATTACGATTAAATATTTTACTTGATTCGTTTTTTAAAGAATTCAAACTAACAATTTTGTATAGTAAGTATTATCTAGGATAATATACAAATGTATATTCACATTATAGTTTATTCAGAATTAATATTGAAAATATAATTTTCTTAAAGTTAATTAATGATTTAGTTATTTCTATGCCACGATAAAATTATGAAAAAAACTAATCTTAATAAAATGTAGTAGACATTTTTAGAGAAACATAATATCAATATATTATTATACTTAATTTAATTTATTTTTTATAAAATTTATTATACTATTTGACTGGGATAACAATAATTTGGTGTCGAACACCGAACGACTGAGCAATTTAAAATTAATTATCTTGCAATAGTATACATGTTTTATACTATGAAATATTTTTTATTGGTCAACTAAAGAATAGGGACAAATTAAGTAAAAATGTTCGAGAACGCCATTTTCAGTTTACCCGAATTAAAATATATTTTATACTAATATAAATATAATTTTTCTGACAATTTGGAGATTATTTATTTCATTACAATTGAATAATTAATCTCTAACTATGAAGTCCCTCTATTTGTGTTAATGAACTAAATGCTGTTAAATAAAATTTGGATATCTATAAATGACTAGCTAACTAAAAAATTATTTTTGAATAATTGTACTTAATAGGATTATTCTATTAATGTTTATTTTATGAATATGTATAATTGAGAAATACTTGTATGGTTTTACGGTTATTGCGTCTAAACAAAGGTAATGTGTACAATAATTGTAAGTTCCTAGAAAATATTGACGTTAAAAATTCAACTATAATATTAGTAAATATTAAATAATAGGGTTCGTCAACGATATCGATGACTTTTTTCATTTTCCCATGATATCAATTATTTTTGAAAAATCGGAATAATTGAAAAAATAATTTCTAATAAAAAAAAACAATTTGAATTTTGGTCACTTTGTTATGAAATATATATTTCTCATTAATAAATCAAATGTCAGATTATGCGGCCAAGTTAAAATAATTTTTTTATTTGAAAAGAAATAATTTAAATATTTTATGTATATCGTCATTTAACAAAGTTTAAAGATTTATTGAACTCTACAAAAATCATACTGTACGAGAAGTAATAAAATTTGAAATACCCTTTATCTAAAGTCGAGAACTCAACATAACTTATTTAAATAAACTATAGTCATAAAAAAATATTCTAATTTTAATTTTGCAAACGCATATCATTGAAGTATTTAAAATGTTTATTGCATCACTTATTAAGCGTTCTCATAAAACATTTAATCCTGGGTTTTATTTAAATCTATGTTATTTTTGCCAACATCGAACAAATGTACAAACATTAATGTTTGTAATGAATAATATTTTGTTGTAATAGAATTCATAACATTTTTCTTATACTATTCAAAAAATTAACCACTTGTAAATTATTGTAGTTAAGTAATTAATCAAGTAATAATTGTACATAAACTATTATTAATTTCAAATATCTCGTATTGTCTTAAATTTAGTTGGTCGTATCCAAATCCTAAAAATGTTATTCGTTCGATTTGTATTACATAAACATTGTAATCTAAAAATTGGAACAGCAAAAGTCTTACACCTTTCTCGCTCTTCATAATTAATGAGAAATATTCCCACACTTCGTTTAGTAAACAACGTTAGCAGACACCTGTTTGATGAAGTTAGATGAACGTTTTTATGTTGATGGTTTGTGGCATTATTTTGGAAATAACCTTGTGCCGATATCGTATAGTAAAACGGTTGCGATATTTTTGGGTAGGGCAATCCAAGGTTAGCGCTTTTATACCTATAAAATGTTTCTATATTGTTGTTTTTTTATTTTATCAATCCAAAATACTATATTATTAAAAAATTAAAAATCTAGGCGTTCTTTCTTTTTCCGTTAACTGCATTCAGTTTCAAATTTCAAATTTAATATAGTATTGTTTTTGATTATAAAGTGTATTAAAGTAGTATAAATGTTATAAAAGCATTAAAGAAGATTTTAACATAAAAAATTATAGTTAAAATGGTTTGTTATTATTATTTGTAATAGATTACTTACATTTTCTTCGGATATTTTTATTAAAAAGTACTTAATTTATTTTTCTTAGAAACATTTTTCACCAACATACATTAAATCTATGTTCATATTTACTGGAAAGTGTTCATTTTGGTATGTGTTATTTAACCGACAGCATGAACTCAACCTACTAATTTTATTGTCGGTCCCAGTAAATGTTAAATATCTTTCAAACACTCGTCTGTTGTTTCTGACCAACATCTTTTGTAGCTTTCGTTTTATTTCAAACATTTTACTGGAGATTTTTAGATGTAAAATGTAAGAAACACACAAGTCGTCATCAAGTAATTTTTCTTCGTTTACTTAGTAACTTATGACTAAATGTGTCCAAATAATCAAGTTTACAAAACTGTTGGTAATTTATTTTGATTCCGTCATATTGTATTAACTGCAACTAAATTAGTTAGCAAACTATTTACTGGCAAGAGATTTTGGCCTGCATTTGCATTCCGGATATAATGTATTTTTGTGTAGGAGTTTGGTTTAAACTCAAAATTATCATTTTAATTACTTTTCATTAAACACTGCAGCTCTTTATACGAAAATTTTCACTAAAATTAAACTAACTAAAAAATATCGATTTAAATATTTTACTATGTAAACCAACTACTAAATGTTTTAAAGCTATTAAAACCAAATTCATAAACGATTATAATTATTGCTTTAGTCAATTGGTATACATCAACTTGAAATTGGATACATAGACAGAAAAATTCACCATTTTGAGTTTCAGAAATTATCTTCCTCTGTAAGATCCTATTACAAATTTCTTAGTAAGACACTGTTCATATTCATTTAATTCAAAATCCAATGATGTATTAAAATACATCAACTTGTATTGTTACGGTAAACAGTAGATTAACTTCTTTTAGAATAAAAGAAAATTATACAGTTTTATGTATTTTTTTTCNATTCTTCCTTTCTTTCTTTTAGGATGAAAATTATACAGTTTTATGTATTTTTTTTCATGAAATACAGTCGAAATCGAGTATACTAGAGATGTTCGACAAAATTTTAGAACATTTATTTATATGGTAAAATTGTACAATTTACTTAATTTTTTTGTAATTGTCAACTCATAATTGGATACTAATTTATTTTTTTCAAAAAAAAATTATAAAACTTCAACAATACAATAGATGAATAGTCATTTTCTTACTTGTATACTTTAAAAAGTATTTTTAATTTGTATTTTTCGATTGTAAAGTGTTAAATGAACCATACTACGCGACGTTTGTAGTTATCTGTATGTATAGATATAAAATACATAATAATTACCTTGTAGCATATAAATCGTAGCTTGATACTCTGCCAATTTCTCGTCGACATAGTCTTGAGATTGTGAAGCGATGATTTCAGCTGTTGACCGACCATCGGGTACATTGTCTTCTTCGTCCAGCCATTGTTGAGGCGAAGGAGCTTCAAGCACCACGAACTCTCGAGGTCTATACAAGGGTGGTAATGATCCAGATTGGTCATAGATTTGAGGGGAAGGACACTAATAACAACATAATTTGTATATTATTAATTGTATATTTTTGATAACCATTAAATTATATATATATATATTTTAATTACAGGTGATGGATATCTGTAAGGCTGCGGTCCAGAAGGTAAAGGTGATGAAGTCGGTCTCATAGGTTTTGGACACGGAATGTATGGTGGTGGTAATCGGTGTACTGGTGATTGGCGAGTAGGAGTTGCTGGTCTAAAAGACACAGGAGGTGAAGTAACAGAAGGCACTGGAGCCCAACCTTTTGGATGAGCTGGTGGTCTTGACATTTTTTAGTTACAATTTCAGTCTAAAAGTTATTTAAAAAAAAAATACAAAACGAAATTTATTATTTTTTGTTTTTTAATTTTATTAGAAGCTGTCTATTTTTATTTACATAACACAATTTGAATACATAAAAAGGATAAATATTGACTCTAATATGCATATTGAATTTTTATAAGATGCCTAAAATATGATATTGAGTTTTAATTAAAGTATTCAACTATATTTTAATTATAAAATTTGAGTAATATACTAATTTTACCAACTGAACGTAAAATATTCAATTATCATTCCAAACAAATAACTTTTACATAAATAAAATAAATTTTTACTACAAAATAAACTTCATTATATTTTCACTAATAATGTTTTAACATGATTGTGAAACAGGAGAGTATCACTAATATTTTAGTGTAATAAAGTTTTCATCGTCTTTTAAACATTTTAATTAATATTCTCTGTATATTACATAGGCAGATGTGTATACTTTTTTGTTCAATCACCATTATTTTTTTTTTAATAAGAAATAATGTCATAATTTCTGTTAAAAATATAAAACAAACTTTATTTTTAAAAAGTTAACGAGTGATAGCTAAATTGCAGTAGTCTATTTATAACCCACGAAGATTTTCATCTTTACTTTTAAGTTCAAGGTTATAAAGGAAAAATCAAATTAAATGAAAGTAACAATGTAGATATTTTGGTGATTTTATTTGTAATTATATAAAAGTATTATCATCAAATAATGTAACTCGTGGATAATTTATTCAGATTTGTTTTATATAGATAGAATAAGTAATCAAAAAATAATTAAACATCAAATATATTTTTATTTAATTTGTAAGTCTTTCTTTTAGAATGATCAAGTATACACATAAAGAATATTAAAATTGGGTCAATTAATTATAATAAAAATAACGATTAATGTATGTTTGGTGCCAAACTGAGGAAAATGCTTAAAATACAGTACTGATGGCATCTCTTATGACCTCGGTATGAAGCGTTAGTAATGAACATATAAATAGAGTGACAATAATATGTCTTTAAAAATGAGTAAAACAATTAATGTCTTATATAAAACGTGTCCATTTAGAATTACATACATTTTATTTTTACAAAATTTTCCTACGTACAATGATATATTTATTTATTAATTATTTGAGGCTAATTAAACGTATTATTTTGATACATCGATTGTCAATGTAATTGTGAGTTTAAATAAAACACAGTTTTAAATTCAAATATATTTTCTAGGAGGGGCTCTAAGCATTGAGTCAACCATAAAATATGTTATGTCATATTTTATAAAATTACTAAAAAAAAGATAAAGAGCATAAAAAAAGAAATATGTTTAACTCCATATTAAGCACGGCGACAAATTTTGCAAAATTAATATCATCATTGTTACCCTGAAATTGCCAGGAGAGCTATAAAAAATTCTAGGTATTTCCAGCTTTATCCTACCTGGTAGTAAATCTAGATTCTGGTAATATCTCAAATAAAATTTCTAAATGAGTTACTATATGAGCATAAATGAGAATAATAAATAAAAAGAATATTTAAAATTCTATTAAATTAAATAACACAAATTACTTAATAGAGAACCACGAAAAAAGTTGATAAAAAAATTTAAAAATGTTAAAAAGTTGAATAATAGAGCTATAAAAATATCAATTGAAGCTGAAAATGTATATAAAATTACAGACTTAACACTTTCAATTTACATTTTATTATTTATTTCGTTATATTTAATATATATATATATTGTAAAAACAAAAATGTTCATACATTATGAATACTAACATACATATACACGGAAGAATATATAAAAACTAATCAATGATAAAATGTTTTTACCAAAACCTACGATAGTTTGAATTACTCAAATCTCAGTAAATATTAATTTTAGATATATTTTTAATTTTTATATTTTAATATAAATAGTATAAATAAATTAGATATATACTAATGAACTATTAAAAAAAATTACTTTAATTTATAAATAATCTACATATTTTTATATTTAATAATATTTCAAATTTGATTTAAAATAATGTGTGTAACATATAAGTATGTTGTCAGTAAAATACACATACATGTGTAATTTAAATTCTAATAAAAATAATAATTATTGTTCTTAATTAATATATTAATTATTATTCTTGATAAAAAAAACCCAACCAAACACAACATATATGGCAAAAATCTGTTTGAAAATTCAAAGGTAGTAGAGAGTTGGAAAATGTATATGGAGGATTGTATGACGGAAAAGAGGAAATCGCAAATGAAGAGGAATATATAGAAAATGACCCGAAGTACTGATGAGTGAATTTGAAAAATCTCTAGGAGAACTGAATGACAAAAAAGCAACAGGGATTGACGATATCCCGGCTGAATTACTAAAAAATATAAGGGAAAAGATAATATATCAATTGTTTAAAATTATTAAATATAGTTACAATAAAAGAAGTCTACCAATGGGTTTTGTCAAGAGTAGAACTATAACAGTTCCGACGAAAAACAATGTTACGAAATGTGGAAACTGTAGAACTATAGCGCTCCTTTCTCACGCTTTTAAAACACTTCTAAACATTATCAAGAACACATTGAGAGAAAACAAAATACATAGAAAAATCAGTTTGAATTTAGGAAAGGGCGAAGAAGCGATTTTAGCAATGAGATAGATCCCTGAGAGAATAATTACACTGAATAGAAATATTATAGCGACATTCATAGATCTAGAGAAGGTTTTCGATAAAGTGAATTGGAGAATCTTATTCAAGATATTAAGAAAAAAAGGAATTGATTGGAAAGATAGACTTCACCTTCAACTTATTTAATGATCAACAACAAAAACAAATGTAAATGGATCGGTAAATCTTGAAAATCAAACGAATTTTGGTTTATTTTAAAAGCAACACCAAAAAACACACGTAATTACAGTGTGATTTTCTTTAAATTAGGCACTCGATTTCTCTTGAAATAGTAACAATATGAAGAAATACTTTTTAGTATTTTTGAGTTTCATATATTTCTCGATTTATCAATTATTAATTTTTTTTAATTCATCTCATATACTTATAAGAATGCCAAATTTATGTTTTTATAGCAACATACATATTCTGAAAGATTATAAAATAAAAAATTATCTAATTTAGAAAATGATCGGTTGATAACAACTTTTGAACTAGTATTTCAGAAGTTATTAACATTTTTAAATATAAAATCGTGGTAGAAAAAGTAATGCATAACAACAAAAATAACAAAACCCACATTTCACCCCACTCTATATATAAATTATAATTTCAGAATTGAGAGGTCAAAAGTTTTCTTAATTAGATCATTTTTATATAGATTTGTATATAATCAATTAAAAAAATAAAGTAAACACTCTAAAAGTTTTGATAATGGTAACATTGTCCCTGAAATACTTATCCGCAATATTTTAGAAACTTTTTGAGTTAAATATTCATAATATAATTTTAATTTTAAATAAGTAATCACAAATAATCATTTTTATTATTTAAAACTTATGTTGAAAAAGTTCATTTTTATCCAAAATTAACTATTTTTATTCCCTCCCTTTAGCAGATAGATAGTCAAATTTTCAAAAAAATTACTCCATAAAAGAGAGACACGTATAGTATTTATGAAAAATATTTTGTTTATATTCATCAATTTTTTCAAAAATTATGACAGGTTTAAGAAAAAAAAAATTTTTAATTTTAATTTAAAAATCGTAATTTTTTGGGTATTTACCCCATTTAAAAAAATGAGAAAAATATTTTCAATATTTGAGTGTAATTTCTTCAACTAAATACCGTTGTATAATATTGATTCTGTTGTAACTGAAAACTAGTAATAACAGACATAAAAAATAAAATAACATATAATTTAATTAATAACTTTTCAGCTTTGCATCGAAGTTAAAAACAAAAATTATTTTTAGAATAGAAAATGCTCTCTGTCCGAAAACATTTGTTATGATTTTCATAACATAATCTAACAGAATGCTCTTGATTTTTAATATATCAATTTATCGGGAGAGATATGGTTTTATTATAATTTAAAAACCTATTGTTTTTAAATTCTTCAAAATTAAATATATATTATCCGTTAAAAAAAAAAGTTAAGACATATTTTTATAAGTTTAAATAGTAACTTTTTTTCTTAAGTCTGGTTTTATTTGTTTTGGATTTTTTTTCTAAATTGGAATCAGAAAGTACGTACTTCATATACTTCATATTAATTGAAATAAAAAAATTATTTTTAAGCTCTTTTAAAGTATTAAAAATATTTAAAATATTTTTAAAACAAATTAATAGTAATATTTTTGTAAATATTTAACTATTAACTTTCCCATTTTTATTATTTTTAAATAAGTCTGTGTTAATAACTTTTGTAATAAACAATGTAACATTAAAATTATCTACATATAAAAATACTCATAAAAAGTTAGTAAAAACTAGTATAGAAAAATTTTTAACTAATATACTGGTACTGATTGAAAAATTACTCAAAAAATATAAATAGTTTAAATTTTTATTAGTTGATTTTAAAGTATGTCAAAGGTAAATAATTTTATTACTCAAGATTTTTTTTTAATATTAAAAAAATGTATTTGAAAAAAACCCGAATAAAATAATATTTTATTAATTGAGTATTTACCTATGACGAAATAATATTTCTAGTAAATGTAGTAATTATAACTAACTACAGTTAGTGGAGTATTTTTATATTGTTTTGTAAACTACTCTAGATTCAATAGGTAAAATTTTATTAAAGTATAGTTATCAATCAGGTAACTAATAATTTAAATTAGAATAACAAAAAACTCGACAGAGGACTAGGGAGAACATGGTCATCTTTTTATGCCGGCTTTGCCGCAACAAAACATTATGCAATATATAAAAAATAAAATTACTAAAATTAACCAAGTATTTTAAATAATTTCTATTTGTAAATTCATGGCGTAAATATTACAAATTTTACTTATTTCTAGCAATTCATTTATATTTAACTAAATAATTGTAATAAACGTAACTATAGCTGATTTTAATTAAATACTACATTTGAAATAATGATTTAGTTCACGTTATTATAGTTTTATCGAAAAACAATACAATACACTGAGGATAATTTGTTGAGACTTACGTTGTAAACAGAAATATGTATCCAATTGTCTATAATAATTGTTTTAAAACCACGCAATTATAACAATAAGAACCACACATACAACAATGATTTATGTGAACGCTAAGAAATTGATCGATAAAAGGACAGGGAGTTATCCTGAAAACCACGAGGGAACTGAAAAAGATTTTACGCATAGAGCTATTGCCGACGTAGACATCAATTTAAATATAACATTTGGCACTGAACCTTCGACCAAAACCCGATCTTCTTTTGCGTGTACAGACATACACGCATATACACATTCGTTCTTACGAATTATTAAGAAACAACATAACTAATTTCTTTTTTAACATTTAAAGAAAGTTCTTAAAAGTTTATTAAAAGATTACTTCAAGTTGTATTTATTATAAAGACTAATGGATACAGTTGTTTGTTCCAAAGAACATAAATAATGGTCAGAAACATAATTTACGTACATATTAGTAATATAAAACCGTTTCCATGATTAACATTAATTAAATAAGGCATTAAATAATATATTTGGACATTATCCGAGAGGCACAGCGTATAATTTGCTCACTGAGACACGATAAATATTTTATTTTCGGATAACCAATTCATATTTAAGGCGCCGTGTGGTCTGCTACATCAAACGGAAAACAAACACACAAACCGTTCAAACATTAGTTCATCTACTAGTTTTTCCACATAATATTTGATAGTCAACCTGTATTTAAAGCAAATTTGTAGGGGAGCCTTTTAATGTTTTAATAATTTTCAAGGTTACAGGATATACATCAATAAATGTAGTTCTTTTTCACTGTAGAGCAAACTTATAAACTTGCAAGAAAGCTTAACCCATTATTACGTCAATTTTTAACAACTTGCTTACACATACAGTGATTTATTGGACCCTCTATTAGATAGAAACCACTCTTAAATGGATAAATTTTATAGTCACAGTGTTTAAATGTATAAAAATTCTCTTCTATTCATCAGAAACTCCCTTCTGCGGAAATAATAATAAATTTAAGCTTTGTCCAAATACCTCATTTTAATAGATAACAGTAAAATAAAATTGTTTAAGTATTATAGAATTATAATAAATTATAAAATAAAACATATTCTGGAATAATTACCATTTATTTTCGATAAACATATAATAAAGCAGCATTACATAAGCACAAGAAATATTTTATAGTTTATAAGACTATTATATAAATAACTAAGTAAACTATTGCAGAAAAAAAAATTACAATAAAAAAATAATAAGTAATAGATACAATAACAAAGTTGTATCTAATTTAAATTTAAAAAAAAATTACTTGTTTGTTTTTTAGCTATAAATGTATTATCAAAAACTTATTATTACAATTATACAGTTCATATTAAATTATCGTATTATAACTATTAATAGAAATAAATCTAATATTATATTAATATGTCTAGATTTATTATTTATATTATTAATTTATAAATATTCTTAATCAATCGCTCTTTTAATTGTGTAATTAGTTTAAAGTAATTTCACAAAATATCATAATTATAAATACCTATATGATTAAACTAATCAAATCCAATAATAGTTATTTAAAACCACACAATATTTAATACATTTAAAAATCCGTATAAAACTATATCTTATAATAAAGGTATTATTTCATACATTTAATTATAGTATAATATAATTTTTTAATTTCTTACACAACTATAAAATAAAGCCCACATAAACTTTTAATAGAATGCAAATTTTACATTATGTATAATTTGATTAAACACCAACAGATAGTTTAGAATTCATAGATTTATTTATTGTAAAAATTGTAAACCAAATTTTAATAAACTGAGTAATAAAGTCTTAAAGAGATTAAACTAGGTTTGACAAAAACTATAAATAATTAATTTAAAAGTTATATTAGTTATTTGAGCAATTTTGTTAAAAAAATTACAGTAACATGAAAGTCTTGTTGAAGTAAATACATTAAAGTTATAATTATTAAATGGATTTTCTTTTTGTGTGTGTCAATAACATGCTCATTTTATCTGAATATACTGTGAGATTACCAATTTTAAGAAATTTTAAAATATATATTTATGTAAAAAACAAATGTATAATATAAACTAAATACATAGAGAAAAACAATGATACAAATTGAAATAAAATATAAATTTAAGTTAAACCTAAGCTTTTAAACACTTAATTGTTACAGTAATATCAATAAATAGTAATAAGAGTAAATTCTCAATTAATAGTTTCTACTCTTATATTATGTTATATATATGCACCATAATTATAAGGAATAAACAAAATAAATTGTTCACATACCGGCTAAAAATCACTAGAAAAGTGATTGTATCACTATGTTTTAATTAACACAAATACAAAAAAAAAAAATTTTTGTACAAAATTTATGAGGATAATTAACAATTTTTCAATATACAAATGGAAAGACAAATAAAAATGTATATTTCATTTATATTTTATTATGTTATGATATCACAACTTGTCAAAATAATTAAATTAACTAAAAATAAATATACAGCTAAAATCAATCAGATTATACAATTATAAAAAAAAAATTAACTTTTCGAAATGTTTTTAGTTAGTTTTTTATCTATTAATAAATCTGTTACTAAATAGACTAAAAATATTTAAATTTCTATTTATGTTAATTTTTTATTTATTAACAAGAAACTTATATTTATATTTAGTAAGATCAATGATGATTTTTTTATATTAAAATGGAAATATACTTATAAATGATGTAAAACATAAAAAGATTAAAATAATGAATGCTCCTAATATTAACAAAATCATNTACAATGAATGGTCCTAATATTAACAAAATCATGTCATATAAATATTATAAACCTATAGAAATTTTACCGAATAGAAAGAAAAAAAAAGACACAACTCTTGGATATCATTTACAATTCTACTTAAAAAATATACAAAGAAAATATAATATTAATAAGCAATGTAAAATGTATTATAGAAAATCTTATATTTATCACTACAAATTTAACTTTAATGTATAAATGTCANCTTAAATTTATCACTACAAATTTAACTTTAATGTATAAATGTCATTTAAATTTATGTGCTTATGACTTAAACTAATTAATATTAGTGCATTACTTAATAATGGAAGAGGGTCTCGATAATTTTTAGATAGATTAAGTATTGGTATATACTAAAGTTAAGTTATGTAATATTGGATGACTAGAGGTTACACTGCCACAGTATCGTAGGTTGTGAGCCCTCCGCTTTGGAATCGTTGTTGTCCTGCTGGGGCTTCGTTTCTAAAAAATAAATTAAAATCAAGATTTATTGAAAATCTTACTAAAGTATTACCTTGGTTGATAAATAGNAAATCTTACTAAAGTATTACCTTGATTGATAAATAGAATTTAATAGAAAAGAATATAATCATATTTTTAGTAAAATTTGTCTCGTAATACATTTTATGCAACCTATAATAATTATAGGTTATTTTTATTATTCTAACATAAACAATACAATTAATAATGAAATAATAATATTTTGCAACCATATAATTNAAATAATAATATTTTGCAACCATGTAATTATATATAATAATTAGTGCTGACCAACCACAAATTGGGGGAGATGCTTGATCAAGTGGTACGTTTTTTTGAAGGTCCCACAATGGTAATTAAAAATTAATAACTATTTAAAATGAGCAAAAAAAGTCACTTATATTATTTTGAACTAAATTGTTCAATAAAAAATTAAGAAAGGCGTTTTTATTTATTTGAATAACGAGAAACAAATTAATATGGATTTCTAATAACTATAAATTGTATAGTTTTTTAAAAGAAATTTAAAATTAAATATTCATTTTGATTTATTGATATTACAAATTTAATTTAATAATTAATCAATTAAAAAATAAAACAAAATAAATTATTTATCCTGTAAAAAATATTATATTATAGCTACGTATAAAACAATCGAATCACTACATAAAATGTTCTAAACACACATTATTAACACCTACAAATTACACACAAAAAATCAAATTTTAATTATTTTCGTGTAAATATGATTAAACAAAATTAATACTTACGGATTCCTTGTTACGGGAAATGCATTAAACATACAAATGAAGTTAGGAAGGATTATTTTCTTAAAGATTAATCTTTTTCTCGGGTTAAATCATTAAGTAAGAAAAATATATAATTTATTTTAAGAGCTTTTATTTCAATCTTACTCTTAAATTAAGATTTTAAATAAAGAAAATAGTGTAACTACCTTTTAGGGTAATTAGTATTTTTATTTATATTACTAACCTTTCAATAAGTTTTCTAAGTTCTTCAGTGGTCATACCGTCTTTAGTATTCCCTTTTGAATGAACTGAAAACCAAAACGAATGTGTTTTCTTTATATTAGGAAATAATAAAGTTACATATAGTCGTAAATTTTCTCTTAAAAAAAACCAATATTAATTTATGAAAAAAAATTATTAGACCGCTATAGAGTTATGTACTTTTATTTATTTTTATGATACTATTATAAAAATAAAAATGGTATATCAAATTATGACACACCGAAAATGTTGAAAGCTTTAAGAATACCAAGCAATTTAAAAGTGTTTAGTAAATTTTTTGGTAAAAAGATTAATTAAAGGATAATAAAGGTAATAATTAAAATAAAATATTTAATAGAATCAGGTCTTTGTTTTGCAGGAAAATATACGTAAAAAATGTTTACTCATCCAGTCAAAACAAATAATTAAATACGTCTTAAAAATAAATGTATTTGTAGGAAATTATTGGTCCATAATTAAAGTATAAATATATTCTTTAATTTTATTTTAATACAATTTTTTTTTTTTGAGTAGTATATTAATAAAAACAAATGTTTAAATAATTCAATATTATGTAAAAACAAATAATAGTAAATTTATTTTTATTTGAGTGTTAGGCGGTTATGATAAGACTAATTGGCAATATACTTACTTACCACGATATTAAAATGAATATGAATAATAAGTAACTAATTCATGCAACGAGCAAATCACCTAGATTAACTTAAAATAAAAAGGTTCTTTAGCAACTTTTTTTAATTTGCTTATTCCATAGCTTATTATGCATCCACTCAAACATTTTTTAAGATTTAAACGAACACTTATGTTGGTTAAACAATAATAATTTAATTTAAATATGATAGAAGTTCTAAAAAATTACAAGGCATTTTACATTTAACAAATTTTCCAAATTAGAACCTTTTTATTCAAAAAGTAAAATAAATCTACTTACAATGAAAAAAATTATTTCATGCATATTAATTAAAAATGTGGATCTTTAAATAATATTTACTTTAATAAAATATTGTATGAAACTTGGACTGCTAACATACTATTTTTTGTAATACTACTATTTACTAATTTTAAACGTATTAATTAAAATAAATTCTTTTTAAAAGAATCCTATAAAATAAAATATTAATCATATTGATTAAAAATCGTAAATCGTGAAAAGGGATGGCCTCTTAACGGGTTTAACTCTCCAATTTTTTTAGAAAATTATAAATCTATATATATTGTTACATAAAAATATTTTTAGGGTGGAGGAAAAATCTATATTTCCTTAAATTTACGCCAATGAATAGATTACAAGTATTCTCAGTTAATTCAAATAAAATTTTTAAATATCAAAAAAAATATTTCAAAGGTTTTTTAAAGAATTCTAATGTTTGTTATTTATTGTTTATGATATTAATGAGTTAGTAAGCCCCTATAATAACTAACACGTTTTACCTTTTATACTAAAATTGCTCTTGCATTGGGATGTGGCTGCAAACGTTTGCCTATTTTGTTGAAATAATATTTATTATTTTTGTTTAGTAATTTAAAATATAACATTATGATAAAATTTATTTAATAGTTGCACTAATAATAAATATTTCTTATTTAAATATACTAAATGAATAAACCTCTTTGTGTATTTAAAATTAAATTAACTAACCAATAGATAAACTTGACCATTAAGATCAAGGTCAATGCAAAATACATTTTTTAAACTATGCAGTTTTAGCATTGCAATACAATATTACTCAATTAAAAAACAAAAAATAATTTTTTGCGTATAAATAAAACTTACCACTAATCTCTTGAATAGGTAGTTCATTATGTTGATCGCATTCGGCTTCTGATATTTGATTACTGTCTTTGGAATCATTGGCCTCATTACTAGTATTACTAACATTTGGATCATGGTTTCGAGGAGGAGGTAGAGGTGGTTCTAGACTTCCTACAGAATAATATAAAAATTTTGTTAAAGTTTAAAATATAGTAAGCAAAAACGTAATTTTATTCTCCGCTAAAATATATAACATTATTTTGATTAAAAATAATGGACAATTATAATTTTTGTAAAAAATTACTATGTAAAATATAACATTCCAACAGCGAACAAAAAATTAAGTCTATTTTTTTAATATTTCCTAGGTGTACGTGTAAGAAGCTTCTAATCCAAAATTAAAGTAATTACGCACATCTTAGTCACAAGTTATTAAAAAAGAAAAGGACGTTAAAAAAAAGTAAATAAACTATAATAATTTTTACGAAAATAAAATATGATTTAAAAATGCATCACATCAAAGTTAACGATTCAGTACAGTTGTTTAATTAAACAACTATGGATAATAGGTAATAAAGAGAAAAAAATACTTTGAATTATCAACTAAATAAATTAATCGGTAATAAAATAATAACATTATAATGAACAAAATTCTTGACTAAAAAAATTTTCCTTGGATAATTAAAATCAAAATTTAATCATGTCATGAACAAATATATCTTTGAAAAATAACATAGATTTGTTCCTATTATTATTTTTTAAATATATTCTTTTAAAATCTTTAATTTAAATTGAAAATTATTCTGAAAAAACTACGATTATCGCAATTTAAAAGTAGTTAACAAAAGAAGAATTATCATAGAACAGCAAAAGTATTTTATGATGATTAAATAACTGGTCAAAATTTATTTTAACTTACCAACACTCTGATGACTAATTGAATTGCGGCCGTCATATTGGTCATATGGAGCACCATATTGACCATATTGACTTCCGTATTCATCACCTATATTTGCTGGATCATCGTATTCAGGTGAAAACATTGAACTAGCTGCTCCACCAACGTGTGAATAACGCCCGTTTCGTGGCTAAAGAAATAATTTTAAATATAAAGATTAATTCGTCAACATTTGTTTGAGAATGCTCAACTTTTGATTGAATTGATTGCCTTTTATTGGTGTAATTAAAAATTATACTCAAATATAAAAATAAAACCTTAAAAATATATTATAACGATGTGTTTACATCTATAGAATAAAAATTTAATTTAAACACATTGTTTAGTGTAGATACCAATCAAATATCGTTTTTCTATAATTGTACAATTTTAAATGTGTTTCATGCAAAACCTGTTAAGTGAATGGTACTTAACGGTTTTCTGTGTTAAACTGCAAGAAATTTTATTCAACTGTATGGATAGCTATGCTACACAATGGCGTATTTAGAAGAACTCTCAGGTTAAAAACCCCTAGAACTTGAAATATATCTAAATTTGCATTGTTTGTTTTATACTAACAAATTGTGTAAAAAAATAAATCAAAGTATCATTATTCCAAGTACTACTAAAGATATATAAAAAACCATAAATATAAAATATCTAATTAAAAGATGAAAATTAAATAGTTAAAACGTTAGAGTTAAGTTAAAAGTAAATTTGTTTTAATTTTAACTTCGATGCGAAGTTAATTTTTTAACTTAATTAGTTTAGTTTATCGTTGAAGAAACTTAGCTCAGGTCATATTGTTAGATAATTATTATCAAGCTAAGATTAATGTCATAGTAATTTTTGGTTGTTTACGCGATTTTTAATCCAATAAGTTATAAAATTTATTTTCTTGATTTTTAACTATTATTACTAATTGTAAGAATATACATCAAGAGAGCGTATCTCAAAATTTGACAAATTAAGATTATTATTAATAATGATAAAATAACTGTTTTTAGATATATTTTTTTGAAGACTTGTAGTTTAATTGTTATGAAAATAAAATTACCCCTTGAAGGTATTAAAATATTTATAAATCAAATTTATTTGTTGATTATCCTAAAAATCTATAAAAACCAAGATTCGTTCTGTTGCAGTATAAACTAAAATATTATTATGTGATGAAAATAATTATTATCATAGCTGCTCACCTGCTCTCAAATTTGAGGAAATATTCTAAAAATAGCTCTGATAGCTTAAATAAGGTGTTGTGTATATATATATTAATATGAATACATTAAATTATGATGAAAGATGTGTTACAAACGTTTATCATTGGTGAATGAAACTGGACTAAACTAACTCCTGCTACATTAATATATTTATTTAACAATAAATATAAATCTTTGAATTTTTCGACGGAGGAGTGAAGAAATATTTGAACTTATTCAGTTAAGTTTCTATAGTTGCATTAGTGTTGCTCAAATATTAAGAAATCAGAATAGCACTTTATGTAAAATCAAAATGATTTAAAAAGTAAATATACTTTTTTTAACTTTTTATGTTAAAAATATTTTTTGGTTTAATTTTTAACTTAGTATGTTAAATTTATAATTTATTAACTTTTAACATATCGGCATTGTCCCTGTTTAGATTAACTTGAGTTAATTATGTATTTAATTTTATTAAATTGTCAATCTTTAATTTAATTTAGACAGTTTTTTTAGTTTTTTCAAATTCGGAAATTTTGTATTTAACGAATTTTTGAAATAATAGATTCAATTAATGTTACCATGGTTTGAGTCCCTGGACATTGGTGCATCATTCCATTGCTAACCATAGTTCCGCCGGGTCCCATTGTTCCACAATGACCATTTTGATGTGGGAACGTCTGGAAAGGCATTTTAGAAGGATCCATTTCTTCACGGAATCCGAGCAAATGGAATGTTGCATATGGGCAAATATCCTCACCATCTACTCCTGTTATTATGCGAAAATGATTAAAATACAATATCATACTACATATAATTTCAGTTGAGCCCGAGGCATTTTGCGACAGATAAAGAAGGTTTGAATTTTATATAAGAAAAAATTCAATTAATTTTTTAAATAGTACAAAGACGCATAAAATATTAAAATATAAGCTCAATCATTATATATTATTTAAATAACTTATTAGTCATAAAATTTTAACGTAAAAACTTAAATAAATTAAGTTAATTAAAAAAAAATAAATTTGTTTAATCAATGAATGCTTAAATTATTTAATGGTAGTAAAGAATTTTTTGTATATAATTTATGTCTAATAGCTTTACTTTTAAAATTTAATGGAATATTCTAATGTAAGGATGGATAGAATTCAGAGGAAGTAGAAGGACAGATTACTCTAGCATATGTATAAGGGTCTATGCATATTTTGATTATTTCCAAAAATGAAAAAACTATCGTTGTAAAAAATCATTTTTAAATAAAAAAAAAAAAAATAAAATATGCACATTAAATTTGTACATTTTTTTAACAAATTTTGTTAAAAATTTGTTAAAAAAAAAATAAGTAGTTAATACATTGAAATTTTTTTTAGAAACAAATTACTGTACTGCTACTCTATGAATTTTTGAATGGCTTTAGGATTAATCAGTAAAACCCAGTTGAAACAAATTTTGAATAAAAATTACAAAAATTAAAAACAAATTTTTCGAGTTTTTTCTCAATAAAGTTGTCTTGTTTATCATTTTTCCAAATAAGTAGTAATAAGTATTTTTTATCATATTATTTTATGCATAGGTTAATTTTAATAGAAAATTTGTGTAGATTTTAAATAAGGAATTTTTTTATTAAGACAATACAACTCGACAAAATTTGAGTCATGGAATAAAATGAAATATTTTTTATCGTCTCAGATCCTCTTTTTTAATGATGATTTCAAATATGCCCATAAATTTGCTCTCCCATCAATATTTTAGCTACAATTGAAGTACATGTAAAATTACGGATTTTTCACGTATAATGTCATTACTTATTAATTATATGTATAGAATCATGATGATAATTTATGCAATTTTGTTGTACTGTGTAATTTATCAAGAACAATGAATAATATTTAATTTCTAATGTACACTCATCAAATATAAATTTTCAATGTCATCCTACTACTATTATACTTGTAGATATATTCATTAATAGGATGTTCAATTAAATAAATTATAATCAAAAATAAAATAAAATAAAACATAAAAAATAACATAAAATAAGATTTATATTGATATATTAGATTACTAGATGATTAATTTTTTAAATTTTTTTATCAATTGAAAAAATTTAGTTAAGTTAAAGAAATTTGTATAATTGAAACTTCTTATTTAAATCTTAAAAAAATTAAAATTATCTACATAAATAACACATTATTACATTTTTAAATACATTAACACCCGAACCACCAAAGACTACAATATGACATACTAACTAAAACACAATCATTTTATGTTTTTTATTGATAATAGAATAATCAAATTAATTACCANATTTTATGTTTTTTATTGATAATAGAATAATCAAATTAATTACCAATACCTTTTTATGTGTATATTTAATATTATTAAAACTAATTATATTAGAAAAAAATTATCTATAATGCATTTAATTCATTTTTTACAATAGTTCATTATTGAGTATTTAATTATAGTTAATTAATTTAAAAGACTCTTGGGATATTTACCAATATACTAACTGAAATAATGTATTAAATAAATCCATTTTATAAGATTGATGACAATTTTTGAAACTATTCATTACATATTAATATAAAATATACTGATATTCAGTAGACTTAAATGTCATATAGTTCTAAATGAAATACTCATTGTTATGGGTATACATTTTTAAGTTTAAGCATAAAATATAGTTATCTTCAAAAATTACTGGTAAAGCTTGTTAATATATATATATATCATTAAGCACACTTTTATTAATTAAATTCGCAAACTGCTGATATTAGTTAAAATAAGCCACCGTGCATCTTTTGTTAATCCTTTGATCATCATTTTACCTCTACACCGGGTGTACATTGTTTCGTCAGAACCTGGACAAGGGGGTAAATGTCCTCTACACCTAGGACTATTATCGTTAAGTTCTTCATACATATGACGCGCTCTAGGGTTCCATGTACCATGACCATTGTAAGGACCGGGAAAACCTGATTTATAAATATGATGAAAACAAAAATAAAAAGTTAATGCTAAATAAAAATAGTATAAAATCAATCTTCAAAATTGAAATAAAAAGCAAACATAAATTGAAAATAATATTCCCTCTAATATTTTTAGAGCTATAGATGTTCTGTTATAACAGAGTAGTAGTTCATACCTCTTTTTATTCTATCACAAGTGTTATAATTTGATCCAGGAACAGGTGGAAGTTTTCGGTTGGGAGGTGCAATGTAACCCAGTTCGTCGTTAAAATCTGCATGTCTCTTATCAAGTGTATTACCACCCATAAGCATAGATTGATTGTATACAGTCATATCATCTAATAAAATGTAATTATTAATTTCTGATTTTTTTAACAATTACTAAATTAAACTGTAAAAATGTTTATGTCAAAACTTGTTATTCGATGGCAACTATTAAATACCTCGTAATCTTGTTTGTCCATTTTCATGAACTCTACGAGACCAAGCAACACAAACTACAATTATACCAACAATAATAACAATAATTGTAGCAGTAGTAGGAACTACTACGTTCAAATCAATCCATTTAGGTATCCATGGAAAATATGTATAAATAGATGTCACATCTTGAACATGGGGAGCAATAGTACCTTAAACAAAATAATAACTAACCTTTTATTTCATCTCCTTTTTTCTTCAAATAACAAAGGAAAATTATAGCCACAATTATGACTAACAAAGCTGATGTTACAGGTACAACTAGGTTAAGGTTGGCTAATATAATACGGATAGCTGTTTCAGTAGCCGAACCAAAACCATTATGATGAACCTCTCTGGCAGGAGCTATAGTACCTGGAACAAGGAAGTATTTTTAAATTAGAAATTATTACTTTAAGAAAAAATTTGTTCCAAGTACTACACCAACTCTGCCTTAATTTCATAGTTTTTTTTTTTTAGTTTTAGCAGATCACTTGAATTAACTTACTTCCACTTAGTGTGAGTGAAGCAAATTCGTATTCAGCTACAGAAAAACCAGCATTGTTGTGAGCTGTTACTCTCAAGTGATACCAAGTAGCTGGGTCTAAATCAAGTACTACAAAATTACCACCAGGTCTTACATTATTAGATACTTGAGTCCATTCTGGTTGCATTCTAAAATTACGTAAATATTGAATTTAATGATTTATTTCTAATTACTAAACTAACAAATTAAATGTTCTCATTATACAGTGATAATATTAATGTTATTACTTTTTTTTATGTTCCACTACAAAATATAACATTGGACAACCACCATCTAGCCAAGCATTTAGATGGAGAGTTACACTGGTAGCAGATACTTCTATAAATTTGCTTGCTTCAGGTATTTTTGGTTTTGAACCCGTTGTTTTTGTAATTAGTATATCTGACTCATCGCCTGTACCAATTCTATACCAATATAAAAACAATCTTGTAGTTACACATATAATCTTTAATAAAATATAATAAAATAATATCTTACAAATTGTAAGCTGTTACAGCTATTTGATAACGTGATCCACACCACAAGTTTTCTAGAGTGAATTTTTCAGCTTTAGCGGCTACTTGAGCTGTTTGCCAGTCTCCAAATTCAGGCTTATATTTAATCGTATAACCATGAACTGGTTCTTTATCATTAGCAAAAGGTTTTAACATTAATGTGATTGTGTTAGAAGTAGTCTCACCAACTGATACTTGTGGTTTATGCGGAGGAGCTAA